TGTCACATTACAGAGTCAGTTGAACATCTTGGGGGTTACTGCAGAGACCAGCATGTCTTGGCACAGCCACGTGGCAGATATTGCTAAAAGGGCGTCCCAAAAGCTGGGGGTGCTATTTCGTACAAGATATCTGTACACAGCAAGCCAATTGCTGACACTCTACAAAGCCCAGATTCGACCAACTATGGAGTACTGCTCACATATATGGAGTGCAGCACCCAAACATACCTTAATGCTTTTGAACACCGTGCAAAAACGAGCTATCAAGCTGATGAATGACCCCGCACTTACTCGTAACTTGGATGGTCTTGAACATCGCAGATCTGTGGGCGATTTATCTCTCTTCTACAGGTACTATCACGGAAAATGCTCTGAAGAGTTGGCACGTATGATTCCACCGAGAGTAGCGCCTACCAGGCGAACCCGTCAAACAGACGGTAACCATGAATTTACTGTCAAACTAGAGGCACCAAGAACCTCATTATATCAGAATTCATATCTCTGGAGAACAGCATCGCTGTGGAATAAACTCCCTGCGACGGTTTTTCCTGCAGGTTACAACCTGAACCGTTTCAAGACCAACATACACCGACATTTCCGCGCACTCGCCGCTTCTCGAGCGTGATAGGACATTTCCTTGCGAGTGCGCATAAAAAAAAAAAAAAAATCACCTGGAAAACATATTGTTTTTGAAAGCTCAAAATATCCGTTTTTAAGCGTGGTACCCGGAAAAAATTTCGCGCCTTCGTCTTCGCCACTGCCTCTAGGCACCGCCCTGCAACTAATACTGGCGGCGCCCATGTATGCAAGCATCACTATGATCGTTAGAAGACGCTGTAATGTTTGAGATGTCTTTATCTCTATTTGTAGCAGTTAATAACAATATTACAACAATATTATTTGGCCTGACCAAATTACTATAGGAAATATATTGCCTGAAAAGGCTACATAGTTTGATTTTTTTTAATCGATAACCTTGCTCATATTTGACGTTTTCAATTATTCGTACTGATACATTTCCTTTCTTACCAAATGAACTGCAAAACATGTTTATTCTCCTGTACTAGAGATTAAAGTGTGGTAACGTTACCGCGGTAACGGTAATTTTGGTAAGGTAATTTTGGTAATTTAACCTGACAAATTTCTTTACCGGTAATTTTCAAAAATGCTTCCTGAATGAAATCGCATTCAGGCGACAATCCTTTTCATGCATTATTTGCTATCTTGTTGTGAATCTGTAATGCGCTTTCAGCGTTGGCATAAACAAATAGTTATTTACCTAACAAGTGCGGAAAGTGGTGCTTTTCCCCCACGCGACGGCAGTTGCCGAGCTGTCAAGGGTGGAAAAGACATTTTCCGCAGAAGTTAGGTGTAATGTTTTTCCACAAGTATTTTTGTCCATCACACTTATCAAAAATTCATCAAAAAATCTGTGTAAGAGCTAGGTTTTCTCAATGAAAAATAGTTCCTAGAGATAGATAGTAATTTGATTTGAAGTAAAAAATATGTACTTAGCACCTATATTTTGAATTAAAACATTGTGCTCGTAGAAAAAACCTATTTCAAAAACCCGGTGTGTTTTTGTTGAGTTCTGAGTTTGAGATTATTTGGAATTTCAAAGAGTCAAAGATCTTAAAACACAAAAACCCTACAAAAGCACAACTCTCGCAAAAACCCAAAAAACCAATAGAAATTTTCAGAAACCCGGGCTTTTGCCAACCCTGTGGGCTTAAAGTAATCAATTTTCTTGACAAAGTTATCTTTTATGCTATACTTTTTCCGAGACTTATTCAGTTCATTTTATTTGTTTTCTTTTTACCCTTTAAAAGTAGGTATTCACTTTACTATTTAGTTAAGCACCAGATAAGGAAAATGTATTTCTGTTTTATTTTTGTTTGATTTTCTTTGCTGGTTCTTCGTTCTAGGAATTAGGTTTTATTATTAATTAATTATTGTAATATTTCTATGAGGTTAGATTTTACAACAATCGATATATTGAATAAATGGTTGTTTTGTTAAAAAATCCTGAAAATCTATAATCCTTGAACGTATAGGTAACAAACAATTATGACAATACAGGGTGTCTCACGGTGGATGGCGTATTAGACGTTCATGGAGAACTAAAAAACGGATCATTTTGAAAATTTGGCAACCGGGATAAATGACCGTGATCTACGCTTTAAAAATATTTTTGTTCATGCGGTGTTGCCGCTTCTACTCTAAACCAGTGGCAACATCGCTATTTTAAATTAAACACCCTGTATTTAATTGCATATTTGGATTCTACGTAAAATTCTGAGCAGATTTCATGTGATATACCCTATACCTAAGTTCAACTGTTTTGGAAATATTGACAGTAGAAAATTGACTTTTTGCAACTTTGACAGGCTGTAAAACCTGAAGGGTTAATTTTAGAGAAAAACCGATTATACATTCCTATCTGAGATTTTTATAACCTATCATTTGACACCAATTTTGAATTTAATCCATGATTAAAAATTCCAATTAAATTTAATCTCCGGTTAAATTCAAAGTTGGTGTCAAATGATAGTTTATGGAAATCTAAGATAGGAATGTAAGATCGGTTTTCCTCTGAAATTAACCGTTTAGGTTTTACAGCCTGTCAAAGTTGCAAAAAGTCAATTTTCAACTGTCAATATTTCCAAAACAGTTGAACTTAGGTATAGGGTATAATATGACATGAAATCTGCTCAAAATTTTACGTAGAATTCAAATATGCAATAACATACAGGATGTTCCATTTAAAATAGCGATGTTGTTATTGGTTTAGAGTAGAAGCGGCAACACCGCATAAACAAAAATATTTTTAAAGTGTAGATTATGGTCGTTTATCCCGGTTGCCAAATTTTCAAAATGATCCGCTTTTTAGTTCTCTATAAACGTCTAATACGCCATCCACCGTGCGACACCCTGTATACATAACTGTTTGTTTCATGAAATATTTCCAAAATTACCAAAATAACCGAAAAATTACCGGTAAATTACCAATGAGAAAGAACAAATGAAAAAATTACCGGTAAACTTCAATCTCTATCCTGTACATACATATTTTTAACCTTATAATTTTGTAGCGAATCATAGTTTAAACACAAAATAAAATTAGTGTACCTTCCAATAGATAAAACATCTCATATCTTTAAACCTTAAATTTAAATTATCATCAATTATCAAAGAAATTATTATGAAATCATTATAACTGAATTGCATAGACATACTAAACGTACTACTTACAATTTCACTTATTGGAGCTAATTTTTTTGTTATACCAAATACCTGGAAATTGTCATTTAATAATGATTTTAGGATTTTTGCACAATCTTTTGCAGATTCATCACCAGAGATTAATACGTTGATTTCTTCTCTAACCTTCCCACTTGCTGGCAACCTGTCTATTTTGTTAGTGTGATTTTCTTGATCATGTGCATATTTTGTTTTCCCGTAGACACTCCGCTTATCACTATTGTTTGTGTTTTGAAAGGTGTTCATTCTTGACGGAAGATTACTACCGTCAACTTGGCCATCATTTTCTTTGTTAACAGCTATGGAAACACCCTTGTTGTCTTTATCTGTTATTTGTGTACTGATGTCTTCATCCGAAACACTCCATATCTTGGTTTGAGTCTCACGTGATACTTTAATAGTAATCATGTCATACACGAGGAAGGCCTCTTTTATTAGATCGTCATCAATAGTTGTCATTGTATGAATATTTCTCAGGTTACTACTATCTGTTTGTGCTTCCCCTACATTAAAAGGTTTAGATTTGTCTATGTCTATGTTTAAGGGGTTAACTGATGTTTCAGTCTCACAAGATTTCAAGAACTTTGGCAGTGTCTGTGTTTCATCAGAATGATGAATTGAAGTTTCTTTACTGTCTGTATGTTTTTCTTTTCTAGCTTCTGACAAAGCTTTATGTAGCTGTACAGTTGTTGCTTCAAGATGTTGAATTTTATTTCTATAGTGGTCTTCCATGTCGAATACCTCCTCTTCAAAAACACTTTAACGACGTTTTATTTCTTCAAAATGTTTACTGTGGTGATTCAACTGTTCTTGTAAATCAGCATTTTCAGCAGTTAGTTGTGCAACTATTTCCAGTGTGTCGTTCATTTCTTCCCCTTTTTCCATACATAAAGTGGAGCAATATATTTTATGTCCCTCTAACAGTTTCCAGTTCTTTTTTCTAGACCAGCAGGATTTGTGCATTATTGAATTGCAAGACACGCAACAATATAAACGAATCTTTTGCTCCTTATTAGGACAACAGGGAAATATCACATTTTCACTGTCGCTTTCTGACATTACTCTTCTCGTTATTGCTTGCATTTTAAGGCAGCTGGTTTTAATTTTCTGTCAGGTGTCAGTATAGAGACAACATGCTTTAACATTAAATACGGTCCTGTCTAATATTTCCAAAATAAACAATATAAACAATAATACTCAAGGGGATTCCACATAAACACAATAAAACGTTTTTCTCCGAATGACAGTAAAAGTGGCCTTTTAATGACACTTGACAGGATCAAAAGTTGTTTTTTTACTGCCTAGGCAGTAAAAGTGGACTTTTACTGCCTAGGCATTAAAAGTGACAGTGATGTCACAACGTTCCAGGTGATAATTTCACTCAATTTGGTATTTGAAATTGATGGTGACAATGACAATTGTCAACATAATTTAATTATTTTTATAATAATAATGAATGAAACAAATATAAAAAAGATGTCCATGTGTGAATTTGAACATTCGGAGAAAAAATTATATGTTTTACATGGCAGAAAAGCAGATTTAATGCCTCGGCTGGTTTCCTAGCCTCGGCTATGAAACACCAGCCGCGGCATTAAATCTTGTACTTTTCTGCCTAGTAAAACAAATAACTATTAGGAATTCCGCTGGTCGCCAAAAAAGTAGTAAACAAACTCTTTAGCTGATAAGAATCCTTTGTGCTACAATACATCGATAAAACTTTTTAAACTTATTATAGGAAGACGAAGAACCTCTGGAGCCTGATGAACTTCCAGAACATTTAAGACCCATGCCCAATCTTGACCTCACTAAACTTGGTGACGGTAATAATCCTGAAGATCTGCTACAAATGACTAAAAAAGGAAGAACCCTAATGACTTTCGTACAAGTAGCAAATAGTCCTGGCAGAGATGTAACTGAAGAGTTAACAAAATTATGGCAAACTAGTTTGTGGAATAATCATATACAAGCGGAGAGGTAGGTATTAATTTTTTCAAAGCGTTATTTACAATTAAATCTGCCTTTATAGATATTTAGTTGATGATAACAGGGCTATATTTTTATTCAAAGATGGCTCACAAGCGTGGACAGCTAAAGACTATCTTGTAGAACAACAGGAATGTGAAAGTGTTACAATTGAATCTAAAGTTTATCAGGGAAAGCATCATCCAAAATTGGGAACTGTTGAAAAGGTGGAATTGTAATTTTTAAGCTTACAAGTAGGTATTAAATTATTATTCTTTGAGGATTTAATTCATTTTTTTTTACTGATTGGTTATATATTTTTATTATTTTCTTTGTAATAAAATTATTTTGTTGAATTTGCCTGATTGTCTTGAATAAAATTCATCGTAAATATAATATGTTTTATTAACAAATAAGATAATACACAATGTGTGTCAATAATTATTTATAAGATAAAATTAAAATATGTAATATAGAAAAAAACTTAAAAATAATCATAGGTATTTATACACCAAGTGAGTTAAATGAATGTTTATTCATGAGCAAAAAGTTGGGGAAAGAGTGGGCACATTTCTGCGAATAAATAAACACTTTTTAAATCATACGATGTATACAAAATTTTATCCCGTTTTGATGGAAATTTAAAAAAGGAATCAGGTCATAAAGTATATTGTAGAAGATTTTTATATTGGCAGAGTGATGTTAAATACCGACAGTCAGAAATATTTCATTTTTAAACGTCAAAATGGGATAAAAACATGAATTATATAAATGAAATAAGTTTTGTACAATATTTGTAATCTAATTTCTATAATCTATTAGCTCTAAAAATCAAATTTTTATCAGGTGGGCTAATAATTTAAGTAGTCAGCAATTGCTTTGTTGAAACCCAGTGATATTAAAAGTAACCCACCTAGCCTTAGTTATTGCATATTTTTACAAAATTTACAATAATTATTTAATATCACATAAAAATACCGTGAGTTGCAAAATAAGTATAATACAGCTGAAAGTTATCCCTAAAGAAAATTTTACAAAAATATATCGTTTGTGCTTAATTATGTTTGATACATTTACACAAGCTGCTGCTGCTAAGTAGATACAGAAATGCAAAGCAAGTATAGGAACTCTCTAATTTAAATAATCAAGAATTGAAATATCTGTCATTACAGCTTATTGAGCTACGGAAAATCTTTAATCGGCAAAATTGGTCATTATTAAGGCCTTCATGCAACTTTTTGGCACATTTAAACTTTGCGTTTTCTTGTTTGAAAATTGTACGAACCATTTAATTAACAAGCACAGTGGGAGAGTGAATGATTTAGTCTAGAGCCCCTCCTCCTGTATTCGGTAGTAATAAACAAAGAAGTCCACTTCCTAAAATAATTTCTATTATAAAAAAAGTTTCATTATTAAGAAAAAAATATACTTACCAAAAAGCATTGCTGCAAAAAGTACTATGGGTATAACACAATTTAAATCAATGAGCAAACCAAATAGGAGATTTCCAATTAGAGCTCCGCCTCTTCCAAAAGTGAGAGATAGAGCAGCAGCCATAACTCTAAAAATATTAGTATAGTATGTAGTACAGTCAAGGACTTTTTTGTGAAAAATATTGGCTCTTTCCGTCCATTAAAAAAAAATCTCATTTATAATGTATATCCCTTGGGAACCTATCGTTCACTTCAATTCAAGTAGGTAATTTTTGTCAATATCTTTTTTTTCAGAAATAGATAGATTTTTGCAGTGATAAAACTATTACCTGAGATTGGTTGGAAATAAATCGACCATTACACAGTACACAGTACTAATACCCAAACTGGTCAAAGCTTCAAAGATACAGGAAAGCGCCAAATTCGAATTTGTAGAATTGACAAAGTATAGGCCTATGGTAACTGAACCGGCTACCAGTAAACTGAAAACTAAAAATTATTTAAGTCAATAAAACCCAAATAGTTAAAAATATGTACCCAAGAAAAACTTAGCTCCAAGCCTATGGACACACAATGGCAACCAAAAACTTGTGGGAATACAGGCTAATCCGATAATAAGCGTGTGTAAAAATACTGAATCTGCTATTGGTTCGCCGCAAAACTCGCTGCTGCCTCCTGTATAGTTGGTAGGTAGCACAACGGAGGATACTTCGCAGACTGTGGCTTTTTCGTTAGGATGGACACTTTCGAATTCTTCAAAACGGTAGAACAGTTCAGGGAACCAGATCATAAGAGTATAATAACTGGAAATAAAATAGAAATTAGATTATATAATACTAGGCTGAGGCGTATTTGCTTCAATAGGCAAAATACAGGGTCTCCAGCACATGAGTAGACATACGTAAATCTGAGATAGGTTGGGCCGTCTGCTATTGCTGCCCTCCATTATTTATTGAAAATTTTGGAAAAAAATTGGAAAAATTCTAAAAAAAAATTCTTAGGGCCCAGGTCAAAATATCTAGGTGGACCGCATAGCAGACGGTCCAACCTATCTCAGATTTACGTATGTCTACTCATGTGCCGAACACCCTGTAGACCTACTGAAGTTGAATTTGAAGACCATGCGCTGAGCAGAACTGCAGTAATGTTATTTGAAAGAAAGAACAATGAAAACTCTTCCTTTTTTTTTTCTAACGTTTAGGATAATATCACTGGTGTGATGTGAAGCAATAACTGTGGCAACATATTCATTTGCTTGCTCAGGAGTGGCTTATGCGTTTTTTTTAAAGATTCTTATCAAGTTCTGAAAGTGATTCTTGATTGATTTCTTTAATTGGGACCTCAGGAATAGTTCATAGAAATGCTTTTTCAGCAGCAGAACCTTCTGATATTGGTTCTTGCAGCTCACTTTCTGAATAATAAGGCTATTCTTAAGCCTAGTCTCCATGGACGCGAAATCGCGAATTTTTTTTTGCGGATATTTTCCGATTGGTTGGAATTTGACATTTAACATTTGATTTTTTTATGGCGGGAAAAATTCGCGAATTTTTTAACTTCTTGCGGCGTCGCAAAAAAGTTAACTATTTTTTAACTTTCCGCGAAATTTCGCCAAAAAAAAATGAGGTTATGTGGTGTTACTTTCAGTTTAGTTTTGTTTATGTTTTTGTCGGTATGTGCTCTGTCCTCTGTGAGTCGTTGATGTGTTTTGTACTTGTAGATACCTAATAAAGAATGGATACTGCCAAAGAATTGAATATTGTAGACCCGAAAACAGACATAAATTACAGCTTGCTGGTTGATGAGGAAGATTATAATAGGGCCTTAAATGTAATCAAGACAACACCAAGACACATATCTTTTTTTGTTTTTTAGTAATCACTTTCATGGTTTTCAAAGATTAGTGTTTGAAATTCAAAGCATTTAAATCAAATTCAAATTGATTACAAACAACAACACATAACCTTAACCTGTTAAATAAAACGCGAATTTCGCGCTTATGGAGACATGGGAATAATTTGCTCGGAAATAGCCCAAAAAAATGACACTTAAAAAATTCGCTTTCCGCGATTTCGCGTCTATGGAGACTAGGCTTTAATTATCCGCTACTGGCGCTACTGGCTTTAGCAGCTCTGCTTTTATATTGGTTCCTCAGGAATTGATTTGTCAACAGCTTCTAATCGTAATTTAAAGATGGGTTAATTACTATTTCAACAGCTTCTTCCAAAGATTTTAAATAGGTACTAAGAGCCGCTTTATTCACCTCCTGATGAACTGTCAAGTATGCAATTTGATAGATAAAAACGCAATTTATAATCCCATTGGTCGGCCAGTTATCCGCCGACCAATAGAATTATAGAACGGCAAATCTATCTTGCAGATAGTTAGCAGAAAGTTCATGAAGGCTCGCCGCAGGCAGGCGCTTTTCGGGTGTCACGCCCAAAAGCGTTTATTTCAAGCCTTCAAAAAATAACTTTTTGTAAGTGATTGTATAGTCAGAGCTGCTGGGCAACATGCGATTAATATACCACATGCTAAAACACAGGACTATAAACTCGACTATTGCTGAAACCTCTATTAAAGTAACCGCGACAACTTCTAATCGCCTCCATCAGTCTATTCCAAAAAACCGTGGAGTTTGGCAAGGAAGCTAAATTTCTACGGATCATCTTAGATATGAAGCTGACATGGAACCAGCACATCCAAAAGATAACCACCAAAAGCAAGATGACGTTGATATCACTAAAAAGAGCGATTGGAAAAACATGGGGACTAAAACCGTCACTTGTACAATGGATATACACTACAGTTGTAGGACCAATGATAACATATGGTGCACTTGTATGGTGGCCTAAAGTAAACCAAAGATAAGCAAACTTGGAGCTAGCCAAAATTCAGAGACTTGCGTGTCTTTGTACTACCGGTGCACAGAGAAGCACACCAACGGCAAGTATGTCAACCTCTGGGAGAATACACTACTCTATTCCAAGTAGAAATATATGCCATCGACTCCTGTCTGAGAGAAAACCTGAGGAGGGGATATACAGATGAAAACATTCTTATGTGCTCAGACGGTCAAGTGGTCGATCAAAGCACTCAACAGCTTTGAAATAAGATCCAAACTTGTCTGGGAATGCTTGGAAAACCTCAAAAACCCAAGTATGGCCAACAAGGTAACCCTTAAATGAGTGCCAGGGCATAAAGGAATTGAAGGAAATGAAAAAGCAGATGCTCTGGCAAGAGAAGGATCGGCAACTAGTTATACTGTCTTGAACTCAAATGGCACCACAAAATCCTCGGTGAGAACAAAAATAAACCAATGGCTGTATAGACAACACAATTAACACAAAACACAAACTCTTTCGAAGCTCAGACACAGTAAGCTAATGGTACAACAACCATCACCTAAACTTACTGAAGAAATCCTACAAACTAAACAGGAATCTAATCAGGCTAATAACTGGACTTATAACTGGACACTGTAGCCTGAGAAAACACCTTCACAAAATGGGCATCCTCCAAGAAGAACCCATATGCAGACTTTGTGACGAGGAGGATGAAACCGCCACCTACATAATCTTTAAATGTGAGGCTTTACGCTGGTGGAGATACAGACAGATAGGGCCAGAAGACCCTATCTCTAAACTCACCAACAGTAACACGGTGAAGAGGATCCTAAACCTAAACTTTTCACTGACTAAACAGACGAACAGGACAATACAATAAGCCGACGGCTGCAGTGTTGGGGCTACCTAACCCGGCCTGTTCATTCTGCATCTCAACCAACCAACCAACCAAGTGATTGTATGAGTTATGTGTTTAGCTCGCTGTTTACTCACCTAAATCAACTCGCTGTCGGAGGCAAAACCTTTTAGGGATGCCATGTATGTAAAATGGAAAGTTTGTAGATACCTATTCCTATTAACCAAAATCGCAAAAAAAAAAAAAAAATTTACCGGAAAATTCTTTGTACCAGTGCTAAATTTCGGGGGGGGGGGGGGTTAACCCCCAAAACCTCCCCCTTGGGTGCGCCACTGAGCTAATCAGCTAAGTTCGTTTTCCAGCAGCTTTTTTGTGTCGAAATTTTTAATCCCAATTATTCAAAGATTGATATTTCAGAAGTAGCCAATGTTTCTTCTGGGATTTCTTGGTTAAGTTCTTGAAAATATCTAACTTTAATTTTGCTTTACTGGTCTGCTCACAAAAAAAAAACCGCTATACTATCTAAGCGGTACCATAAGCGGAAGGAATTAAGTGACGATTAGCCCTCCGTTTGAAAACGTAAATAACGAAAGTAGGAGGTTTTTGTGGTTCTTAAATAACTTCTCCTAGCTGGAATGAGGGGCCAGATCGTCAGAACTAGAACATCTCCCATGGTAATAGCGATAGAATAGAACAAGTGGACGAATGGACAGCGCCGGTTCAAGGCTCTACCGGCCCCTAGGCGGCAGAAGGTATGGGGCCTTAGCCCAAAGTGACTTTTTACTGTTTTTGTCCAAGTTGAAAAAAAAAAGGATTTTCAAAATGCTGCTGGAAAGTGTTTTGGAATGTTCCAAATGGCTTTTTGCAGTTCTAAAGTCTTCTAACTTGGCTTGAAGAGTTCTGAAGCATTCTAGAAGTTTTTCAGTAATTTCTAAATTGTTCTAACAGATTTTTAAGTATTTTAGAGCCCTATTGAAGCTCCAAAAAGTTCTAAAATGGTTCAAAAAAGTTCTAAAAGGTTTCCAGTACCTACTCAATTAGGATTCAATTTAGAACTTTGAAATTGTTCTAAAATAACTCTGAAGTTTCTCAATTGCTCCAAAATGCTCCTGAAAATTCTGATTTAGATTTGAACTGTTTTAAATGCCTTTAAAGAGTTCTAAAGTTCTACAGCAATCAAAATTTGCTCTAAAAATCCTTCTGAAAGGCGTTTTGTAATTTTTAATCTGAATCCTAAGATTCTGGCGCTTTTCAAAATGTTTCTGAGGATTCCAGAGTGTCTGAGTTTGAGTGTTTTGGAGCGTCCTAAAATGGGTATCAACCTGGAAATCGGTGTTCGAATGTTTTGGGGCATTCTAAAATGGTTCTAAGATTTCCAAAATTTTCTGAAGCGCTTCAGAATGCTTTTGGAAATTCTGAATTTAATTTTAAATGTTTTGAACTTTCCAAAAGGTCTATTAATAGGCCAGGGCAGTTAGCAAAAATAGGAGAAGTTTTTGCAATCAAGCTGATTTTTTCACAGATGATAGTACCCATCAATAGTACTCTGTAAAAAAAAGTTACACCTCCTAGGAGGCTTGCTTTTTCTGCCATGATGATTTAAAGATGGCGGCTGGTGCTATTTGTGAAAAAAATCCTAACTTTCCTATTTATTAACCGATTTTCGTAAAGTAAAAAAAAATACCTTTTCCTACGAGCGTGCGGTAAAGTATCCTTTACCGCACTCATTTGCGTCCCGTAGGGAGTACTTTACCGCACTAGGGCGGTAAACATTCTTTACCGCACTCAGTGCTGTAAAAATCCTTTACCTACGAGCGTGCGGTAAAGTGCACTTTACCGCACGTATTTGCAAATGGAAAGTAGCACTTTACCGCACACTATGCGGTAAAGTTAACTTTACAGCATAGTGTGCGGTAAAGTTAACTTTACAGCATAGTATGCGGTAAAGTGGACTACAAAGTGTGCGGTAAAGTGCACTTTACCGCATAGTGTGCGGTAAAGTAGAATTTGATATTTATAATCAAAAATCCTTTTTTTTTTCCAGAAAATGGATTTTTGATAATTTCTAAATCTAATTTAATTTCATTAATTAATATGATTCAAT